GAGATATGTATATATATATGTATATATATATATATATATAATTTATTTTTTAATCGTTTAAACAAATAAATAAAAAATATGTTAGATTTGATCCATTTCCCAAAATAATACATATATATATGTGTGTGTGTGTGTGTGTGTGTGTGTGTAGTACCAATTTATAATAGGCAAGGAAGACATTATTATTATTCCAATGAGAGCTCAATGTAAATTAAAGTACAATATATAATGATACATTAAGAAAAGCCTTAAAAATCGGTACCATTTATAATTTATTTCATGAATATTGTTATATTCATCATAAAAATATTCATGAAATAAATGATAACCAATATGGATTTTAACGTTTTTAATTTATCATATATTATATATATATATATATATATATATATATATATATATATATATATATATATATATATATATATTTGTTTGTTTGTTTAAACAAATAAATTAAAAATATGAGAGATTTTATCAAATTCCTAAAATAATATATATATATATATACATATATATATGTATGTGTATGTTTTGTATATATATATATATATATATATATATATATATATATAACCTAAAAGCAACAAACATTCTTATTTTGTGTACCATAGTACCCTTAGACACCACAAATAGCTCACAGAAGTATTGTATGATACTGAAATATTCCAAGACATATATCGATTTGGGAAAGGCAGGGAAGTGGCTCTAAAGTTGGTGATTGCTTTACAATGTATATATAATATAGGTTTTGGCCCGTACTTTGTGTCTGTTTTTTTGTTTGTTTTTTTGTGAAATCTTCATGTTCACTTTATTATGTAAATTCAACCCATCATAGTCATTTTCCACATTAATGTTAACTTTTCTCAAAAGCAGATATCATAAATTAAAAAAAAGAAAAACATTTCTTTTTCATAATCTTTTTATTTACATCTTTAATTAGATCTGGAGTTGTTTTTTTTTTATTTTTTATGAAGGCCACCATAAAAAAACTCCTTATACACTAAAGGGAAACTATTCAAGAACCAGTCACCTTTCTTCTTATCTTTTCTGAACGTATATGTGAATAACCATCTACAAGTTGAGGGAATTGAAAAATCTCTTCCGATCTCAAGTTTTGCATGTCTCATCACATCTCTTATGCATCTCTTTTTCACTAGTAAGAACCACTTTGTTTATTTAATAGTCCAAATATAGTGTAAATTGCAATAACTCCTCATCCCAGAAATTCGGACAAAAAATTAATTTGTTTATAGTTTCCATTTTTCTTCTTTTAAGAAACTATTTTTGAATCTTCAGTTCCCTAAATTTTTTGGTAACACCTTATCTGTGTCTTAGTTCAAATTACAACCAGATTTCGAAAAAATATATGTAAATATACATATATATTTTTATATTTGTGGATAATTAAAAGTAGATATATCTATATCCAGCTATGTTCCACTAAATTGTACACTGTATTTTTTTTTGTGTATAATATGACTTGAATGTAAAACAACCCCGTGTTTCTGAATCTAAAAACAGGGAATAAATTACATTCTTGAATATGATAGAACCCCATTGTTCAGCCATTAATTTAATTTCTACCATATTATCCATTAAAATCTCAGTATATATATTTCATTAAAATATTGAATTTTTCACGATCTTAAAGATTAGAAACGACTAGATGTTTAGTCAGTACACGTTTCTTTCTTTATTTCTGTTTTCAAAATTTATTTTCAAATTTTCAGTTAAAGGGGCTAACTAGACATACCTAGTAATATATTTTAAGGTGTTAATTAATCTACCATACTTTTCTGTTTGATATAACTTTATTATATTTCTATATATTAATAAACTATCAAAATAAACAAAAAATTATTGTTTGTCATTAAGGAAGAAGAGAGAAAACTTTATAAAAAAAAAAAAAAAAAAATACAAATTTTATATATATACAAATATTTATATATATATATATATATATATATATATATATATATATATATATATACAAACTTTATCCTGTGAGGAAAACTGAGACAAATAACAAATTAAACTGATTCCCAAAAGAACAACTATTGCCCACAAATAACAAAATACATTTTGTAAATAATTATTGACATCTGTCTACTTGATTTTTATTATCTATTCTGATGATAGTAATTTCGATGAAGGATGTTTCTGCCACTGGCAGTAGGTTAAGTATGTAGACTGAACATTCTACAGTGAATGTCTCAGGTCAAGATTTAATTATTAACTACATGTCAAGATGCAGGCTTCTTTTTCCCTCTATACACGTATGTAACACCAACTGCCTCTTTTACAGCCAGTTGGTAATTGTTTGCAAATAAAAGCTTGTGTCTAGCCAGTCCAATGGGAAAGTATTGACAGAAATAAGAAACGAAAATTAATAGCAATAAACAAAGCAAATCATTATTTTTTTTAAAAAAAAAAGAAGAAAAAACTAGAAAAAATACTAGGAAAAACTATATAAACATTTATATATAGAGACTGATGATAT